CTGAATCCACAAACCCAAACCAACTTTTATTATTGGTTCCTTTTTGCTGAATGCCCTTCTCAGAGAAAAACAGAAATGCAAACAACCTCTCTTCAATTATTGTTCAGCCAAGAACATGCTGCTTCACCATGCAACAAATGGAATTAGAAAATTGAAACCCAGTTATTCCCAGTTCATTATGTGCTACATCTACCTGATGCTGCTGCTGTACAAACATGCTGAGACACTTCCATTTTTTCTGAGATTTGAAAGATCAAGGCTTTCAACACATGACCAATGATATTTGAAGTACAGCTGATCATATCTGTCTGTGATGCAGATGGGAACTTCATATATAGATAAATTAAGATTAAGATGCCTTATGGTAAATTTATATATAACAAACATAACTTAATAAAAAGTTGCAGTTTTGTCTCATTGTTGCTCTAATTTTTTTTGAGCAAAGTATCAAATTTAAACTGGGACATTTTCTGCTGTATTTATACAGAAACAAGTTCCTGCTTATCAGGACATCCTGCTACAGAAAACCTAGACAATGGAATCAAATGCCAAAATTTAGTTAGACTCTACTAATTTCCAGGAGCACACACACAATCAGACTTCCAGAGCCCTACGAAACTGTGATCTCACCTTCCCATTCCAGCCTTTTATATATCTGACCTACATAACACTTTTGGTGAAAGCCATGTGGGATCACACCATTTCAAAAACCTAGGTAGCAACACTTACTATTTTTCTCTTTCTTAAATTGAACAATAATTCTTAAACCCAAGTTTCCTTGGGATAGTTGTTGGAAAGACCTTGTGGTTTTACACAGTAACACCAGGAGTCAAACACTTAGTGGCTTTGTTTTTCTTTCTCCATCTCACTACCTAGATTTATTTTTCTGATGCACCAGGCCCAGGTACAGTGCAGTGATGGAGATCCAGGAATATTTTCCTGCCTACCTCAGCTGGAGTCCATGGAGACAAATGGACCATCAAGTCTCTCTTGCACTTGTGACACAGGCAGGTGTTTCCCCCATCATTTCCCTCATCACTGGAGGGTGATGACAGCTTGGATATCATGGCCAGCTCTGATCCCTCTGCTGCTGTAAGGTGAGAGGCAGCTGATGTTAACAAACTCCATGACACTGCTGCTACTTGAGCATAACAAACAGGGCTCAGGGAAAGTAAAGTGAGCAGCAAACACTGAGCTCTGCCAGGTCACTGTCTGCCCCTGCCCACAGCATTGCACAAAGTCAGGAAGAGCTTACAAAGAGAAGGGGACAGGAGATAAAAGGGACTAAATAGGCAATAACCATTAAATAAAAGACTGGCTATTCCAGGCTGAAATGTTCAATTAATAATTTTCCAGGTCAAGAAAACTTGATCTGTGACAACTCTTCAGCCGTGACTTAAGTTACTTAAATTTCTCCCATCTTCTTGATGTACCACAGAACGTACAGCTGCCAGAATTCATGATGAAGAACACAACTTCTGAGCTCACACTTGCCTAAAAAACCCAATTAAGCAGATTTCAAATCTCACTGTGAAGAAAGTCCCAACACTTCAGTGCAGTAAGTATGTAACTGAACTGAAAACATTGTACTGTACCCTGACCACACCCTGACAGCAGCACACTGAGCTGCTCTGCTCAAAGTGGTGCTTTAGAGGGACTGTTATGGTACCTTTCAAACTGAAAATGAAAATAAACACAGAGTCAGGTGTCTTGGAAGAATAAAAGCACTGGTACTTATTGACACAAATGCAGAGCACTAAAGGCTGCAACCTAAAGCAACACAGAATGCCCAGCAGAGGTTAACTTACACGATCCCCTCTTTTATCTGATTTCTACTTAGGACTTGATAGTTTAAATTAAAGAATGCATGAAATCCTTCAGAGTCATACAGACAGACCAGAAATCTAACATTAGCAAATGAAAATATATTTATCATCTTAATGATTTGATTTATATCACCTTTAGGCCACACAGCTGATCAGAATGAAAAGCAAAAGGAACTAGTGAGAGTGCTGCTGTTCCCAACATCAGAAATGGAGCTCTCACCAAGAGGAGCCAAAGGTAATTGAAAAATTACGAGAACAAATGGAACAGTATCTGCACAAAATTACAGAACATGGGGGGAAAAAGTCACAACCTTCTAAAATTGCAGTGACTACACACTTAAAACAGTATCTCTGCAAGGCACCACTCACTAAGGAAAAGTCATCATTTTAACAAATTATGATTAACAAACAAACATACAAACACAACACTAAAAATTTAAAATTACCTTTACAGCAACAGGTTTCATTTTATCAGTTCTCAAAATCAAGTGAAGGAAACAGTCTTTATTTTTTCCAGGTAATACCAAGTGGGACACTGCCAATGGAAATTTTTACTCAAAGAAGAAGGGCTTGCTTTTTTTTTTTCCTTTCTCTTTGTTTTGATTTGCTCCTTTTTTTCTTCTTTAAGAAAGCTACAGATCAAATAAAAATATGTAGCATACTCGTAAATCTGCCTTGCATATAAAATCAATTACACAGTACACGAATCCAGTAATGGGAAACATATTACCTCTGACTGGGAGAAATTCAGACCCCCATGGAAAGAAGAGGGCAGCTCTTGCTGTGGCAAGACCTGGAGCTGCCAAGCCAGGTGCTGGCTCTGCAGCAGCTCAGGTCTGCAGCCATTTTAGCCCAAAAGCAAAGTTCCTGGAGGACAAGATAGAAAATACGCTCACCTGGAGCTGGGCTTCAACTTGCTGCACCTGCTTCTTGTGTTTGCAGGAAGGTCTGAATTCCCTCACTGATCCTCTCAATCCCTTGTTCTGTTGACACCATTAACAAGATCAAAGCTTCAGCTGCTTAACTGCTGTTGCTGCTTACATACACCAAGATTAATCCTTATGTATTGTAGCTCACCTAGAAATAATTTAAAAAACAGGATATTCTCCTCTCTACTTACTGACTTTCACAACTAGATAATTCTTGTCAAAAGTCGATATTAACCCTAAAACATATAGCAACTTTGCAGTACAGATCTCTGGCAAAAATCCTATGCAAAACATGTAAATATCTTAAATTATCCTCTTTTATTCCACAAAAGAATTGTCTTCTTTGTATTTTAACAGACTTGTTCCTCAAGAATTCCTTAAAAAACCTTCACTTCTGGTTTTTTGTTTTGTTTTTTTAGTGTTTTAGTTTCCTTCTTTTGTTCTTATTGCCTGATTTGTATTGACCAAATAGAAGGAAAAATATAAAAGGCTGGAAAACAAACAATTACAATCTTGGTTTTCCTATGACTCAATTCTTTTCACCGATGTTAAAAAGGCCAACAACAAAGTAACACACTCCAGACATGTCCAAAAAGCGACCAATCTAATTCTCCTTGGAGACACTTAAGGAACATATAGCTAAAAACCTATCACACAACTCAGAATATGATACTGGTTGCTTTTGCTATCTAACACTTAAAATTATATTCTTTTTTGTATCAGCTACCAGTAAGTTAAAAGTTTTCCGGACCTAGAAATAAAGTGCTTTGATAAATCGTAACAAAATCTCTACAAATGAGGAAATATTCTTTACTCAATTTTGTAATGCTTGTTTCAACTACATTTGTCTTGGACACTTAGAACATATTTAATTTATACGGAACAAATGATTTGTGGAACGGAACTGGCAAAGTCTCCAAGTTTCTCTTACCTTCAGGAAGCAAATAGTGCATGAGGCTTAGGATGCTTTTACACATAGGAGGTTGCCACAAACAAGAGAGTTATTCATAATTACACTTCTCCAAAATCTGCAGGAACTCTATACAGATGTCCCAGTTCATTTTGCAAAACACTGACAAGTCCAAAATGCATGTGAACAGTTTGCTAATGCCAGAGCCTTAATATTAACTGCTGATAACTCAGGAATTCCACATGCAATCATCCTCTGAAGTTACAGTTTTACTGTCCTTGTAGATAAGAATTTATTGGTTATCTGGCTGTACAAGAGGGCCTGTGGGAACTCTTTTGAAAAGTCTTCTGCAGCAAACAACTCACTCTGATAACATGAAGAATTTGATTGTTCCTTGGTTTTAAAGCAGTATTTTTCCCAGTGCTCATGAACAGTACTAAGGAAAAACAAGAAAAGTATTTAAGTGATATGAAGAGATGCAGGGCATCTGATTCAGCAGGAAGAAGCACTGGAAACCAGCTATTCACCAGGAAATCAAACATATGTAAACTCAACAATTCTAGCTGCTCAAGCCACCCTGTTCAGATGTCTTTCCACTTGCCTTGCCAGCCACAGTGATGAGTATGAGTACAGCACTTAAAACTAAATTGCTCAACATTTTCACTTCAGTCTCATTTCGTGTAACCAGATGAAATAAATCCTCCTCCATCTCATGCAGGAATACTGAATGCTGACACATTTCCACAGTTCTCTACCCACACATTCTGGCATCTCAAGAATCAATTCAAGTTAATGAGTTTCATACAGTAATGAGAAAGCTGCAAATAAAATGAGACAAAATTGTGTTACAACAAAATGCGGAATTATGATATGAATAAAGCAGTCAATTAGAATGACAAATTCTGTGTGGTTTCAAATTAAATAATTTTAATGGAGTGCTGTAGGTTAGATACAGAAATACAGTTGCAGGCAGTCAAGAGTTTAGTTGCAAGTGTCCAGGATTTCTAGGCACTGCTACTAATATCTAAGTTTCTAAGAATGTCATTAACAAAGAAAAGTTTGTTTAAAGCTTCTTTGTTTAAATGAGGAAAAAATTTTTCCAAAGTTCTTGTATCTTCATTTTTTTTTTTAATTTTTTACGTCAGCTGTTTTACATCAGAACGTCTTTCAGGGTTTTTTTCCTACTAACATATTTAGAACAAAATTGGGAAGAATAACATGTGATGGCAATACAGTTGTTCCTCCTGACTGTGCTTACTGGCCAGGTGGGAAGTCTGAAATTTGTGCACATACAAATGCAGCACTTTGGATCCAGCCTTCTCACTGAGGCTGTATTTAGCTGTCAGTTTCTCCATGGACATTTTCCATGTGCACTTTGAGGTAGTCATTCCTTGTAAACTTCTTGTGGCAGAGCTGGCACTCGGCCATGGGGCGATTGGGGTTGTGAGTCAGCTTGTGGCGGATCAGCATCTTCTTCAGGCTGAAGGACAGGTCACAAACCTGAGGCAGTGAACACAAGACAAAGACATAGCAAGTATTAAAATCTCAAGCATGCATAACACTCCTAAGGTTACATCACTGAGGCCACAGCCACACATACTTGCAGTACTTGATAAATGAGCTGGTCTTTGGAAGAAAAATTCCTTCAGAGAGCACCGAAAGATTTTTATTCTGCCTGGAATCTTTTTATGCTGTATATTAGGGGTGGTACCACAGGCACAAGGATGCTGTCTGTCTAAAAAAGACTCAATCTTCAAAACACCAACACATCGAGGTGTCCTGGTAATATTGTGGTGCTTCATTCAGGTTTTTTTTAAAGCTATTGTTCTATCTGGGATGCAGCAAAAACTGTGACAAAACATCACGAGCAAACATCAGTTCAAATGAAATATTCCCTTCCTGACCTCCAGAATGACACCTGCAGCTTCCAAAAGAATCAGTTCCAATTGCTCAGTTGCAAGGAGGGAGGACTGAGAATGAACAGGTTCTGAAAACAGCAAGAAAGGTTAACTACTAATGTAAAGGAAACCTCATTGTTCCAGCCTTTCTCTGCCTGGCCAAGAAAATGGCAGACATCTGGTAAATGAAGGTGCAATTCCTTTGCATTATTATCTGGTGTGCTGCTCTCCTTCCTCCACTGTACTCCAAGCAGTCCAGTTCATTCTGCCATTGGAAGAGATGGACAGAGGCACGAGAGACTCTGCCCATACTAAAGCCATTCCTTTATAAAAACCCCTGTACTGAAGTTAAAATGAAGAACACAAAAGGTTAAAAGAACAAGTTCAGCAAAGACAAGTTCGAATTAAAAGTTAAGGCAAGACATCAACTCAACCAAAACTGTGCAGTTATACTGTCACACTCACCCTACTGTGCAAGGAAATATTCTAGCATAAATTTGACAGGGAAATGAAGAAAAAAAGAAAAGAAAGCAGCTGCTGATTTGACAAATGAAATAGACAAGAGTCATATAATTAAACAAGAATGAGTATCCATAGGCTTGCACTCTTAAAATTCCATGTTCATTCCAGACAATATCTCTTTCATGCAGAAAAAAACTCAAGGAACCCAGGACAATCCCTCGGGAGAAAAACAAAGCTTTAAATTTATATTGGCACCCAACTACTGCAAATGCTGAATGATGACTGATTCCTTTTGAAACCACAACAAGACCTGACTATCCAAGTAGATCATCTTGACCTCCAGCATATGGATTTTAGGCCAATTAAGGCTAAACCATTAAATGACCATAAAATGGCAATGGCCAGAGGCAAGTTTTGTACCCAAATTAATTTCTCCCCACATTGTGTGTGCTGCTGCACTAGAACATTTTTGACTTTATGACATGACATAATGCTGAGGACCTTCAGACAGCACCTCTCCAGCTTTTCCCCAGCGAATAATCTCTGAATAAACCTCTTGGAGACCCAAGCAGCAGCCACCCCTTGGTTACTGACAGTGAACCTCAATTGCAGCACGCACTGGTGCACTCTGAGCACTGCTTTTGCCAAAGCCAGGTTTGTTTCCCCTTCACAGAGCACACAAGGGGAACCCATAACATTTATCTAATCACAGCCACAAATCCCAGTGTGTTGGAAGTGTCACACATTCTAAATACTCCATGTTTCCTGAGAGCCAGGAGGCCAATCAGGGACATACACACAACAAAGATGTGTGTGTGTTCTGTGCATCTTATACACACCTCTTCCTTTCTAAAATAAACAGCTTATAACACAGCCTCTAAGTACATTTCTTGCATTTATTCTGCTCGTGTGACCAATGTAATGTGTCCTTCTGTTCCTCCAAGGCTCTAACATGTTGTGCTACCTTCCTTCTTCAAAAAAACACATGGAATGTACAGGATTGTTAAAGGTATGGCACATCATGCGCTGTTCTTATGCAGAAAAGTTTTGAGGATTTTTTTAAAGAGTTTGATTTGTATATCAATTTTGTAAGCATGACTGATATTTTACAGATTTACAATCACTCTTCCTCATGTGCACTTGAGCTCTAATCAGTCTCTTCAAAGTGATCAAAGTTTTGGTCAGGTAGGGAGGATGGAAAGACTGACATCTGAAATAAAGTGTAAAGTCAACCAGAGGCAGAGTAGAAAGAAATACTGTATTGGAAAGAAACCAGGACAGGCAGTACTTGACCTTTCTGCCCCCCAAAAATAATCTATTGTCTCTGAGAAACTGAAGTTCAATTGGCTTTCCAAGAAAAAACAGGCTGGTCTGGAGAGGACAGACATCTAATTTTCTATGAAAAAGTGCATTTCTATTTCCATATTTCAGTCATTTTCACTTTTCTAGGTGACATGTATTAGAATTGCCATCTTGAAATGGGAATATTCAATTTCCACTAGGATCCATGGGATGTGAGAGCTCTGAGACATTAAGGTCTGAAAATGCTTTTGCTGACTGATAAGACACAGCAACAGACACATAAATAAACTGTAGCACCTTCCTCAAACAGAGTACAAAGATTAATTTCACATGTAACTCAGTCCTGCACTGTAACGACTGTTCCATGTGCCTGAGAGAGAGTGAGACAGGAAGAGAAGACATGATTTTTATTTCTGACCCTGGAAAAGAAAATCTATTTAAAGCAAAAATATAGACGATATGAATTGGTATGTGGTATTCCAGAGATAAGAACTTGTGGAAGTTGCTGTCATAAATTACCACTCAAGTCATTACTTGAGAAAATAATGAGAGCATCTAAAGCTATCTTGAGCAGAATAAAAAATTGTAGGTGAAAAACCAGGTAGTCCACAATAAATGTCCCCCATAGGGACATTTTTCTGTAATTGTCCACCACTGCTTTTCCTGTAACTGCTACATAAACATCTGGAATCATGCAATGTGCAAGACAGCTCTGGAGGAATGGGCTGCTCTGGGGGACATTTACTGTGTCCCCAGCATGTGCAGAACAGGAGCCCAGTTGAAATAAGGAGAAATTACTGAAAGCATCAATTTGAACCCTCTACAAGTGTGCATTAAGCAACAGACCATGGTGGGCACCTGGGTGACTGGAGCATGCAGGAACAGTGGAGGCAACTGCTGTTATGTCCAAATCCCAAAAGATCAACAGCCTCTGGCAGTGTGCAGCCAGCAAAAGGCTCCTTCTGAAGACTGATTTTGGTGAAATATGGTAGAAACTTGGAAGTACAAAAAATACCACCAGCAACTGAAGGTACACTCTGAAGAAATCTCAAGTGAAGGACTAGGACTAGACAAAGATTACAGCTGCTTCTAGAAATGCTATGGTTTGGGAAGGTCCACTTGATTCATGAGGAAAACTGAAGAAAAAGCTGAAACAGGGAAGTATGCTTTCATATAGCTCCTATTGCTAATTAAAGCAAGGAAAACTAATAAAATATAACCACCATACCAAGTCAGTCTGCAAAAGCACACTCTGAATCCAATAGCAGTGAATCTTGGATCCACAGTGTGGGAAAAACTGCATTTACACTGCAAGCTGGCCAAGAGCTGCTAAACAGTATAACAGTCTGAAAGCTGAAAAACTTATTGACAATGATTTGGAGTTAGAGAAATCCTCAAGGTACTATCCAGAGCCAGGCTGAGATTATCCCAAAAGAATACAGCAAATCTCCTAACTTGTAGACATCAGCAAAATATCTTAGTTGAACTTTTTCATGAAATTATTATATTTTATTCTCAATGAAATGACATCAGGTCATTCATTAAAAACCAGAACAGTTAACAGACCCTTGAAAGTTTCCTGCCAAGCTGTTATTCTAATTTTGCATCTAATTACATAAATTTCTGAGCAAATTTACAGCTGCTCAGACTGAGCTATCTAGGATATAATTGAGAGCGGGCACTCCCCTGTGACTGCCTCATGAAGACTCAGTATCACAAAACAAAACACCTACACTAATTCTACACCCGTTCTGATGCCTTCCTCTAAATCCTTGAGCAACAATTTTGGCATTTGATAGCTCTGGAAGACATTATTCCCCACAAGTTTCTGCACATTCAGCCTTCCCACCTACCTCCCAAAAGCTGAGAGATGTTGCATACAAGGGGGGCAGGCTGCATGAAGGGTACCTGACAGCGATCTCTCAACTGTCACAGGATATGCTGCATTTCAGCCCTGAGAGCGTGCACAGCATCCCAGATTCCCTCACTGAGCAACAAGAGGCTGTGAGCAGATGTTCAAAGTATCAGACCAGATTTCACCAGAACCAGGCAATTTTGAATTCATATTTGTGTCATTCAACACCAGAAGCATTGAGATTCCATGTAATAAATTAAATCCCTTTTGCTACACAAGCTAATCTCCAACTATTAACCTGTCATACAATTCATACAGGAACCCAAGCAACATGAACTTGTAAATAGTAACATCCAAATTGCATTACTAATGGTGAAAATAACTCTTAGGGGATCCAAAACCATAAAATGAACGGGTGTGCATGGCTCTTGGCAAGCAAAGAGGGTACATGAAATTCCCTGAACGGCCTTGAATTCCTTGGGCAATCCAAGCCCACATGAAGCGTAACCATGCCACAAGCTCTAAGTGCAAGGCCACAATACCCCTGCAATTAAATCCTGAGGCTGAGAAGACAAAGGGAAAGGAGGAGAGGAACTCACATCACACTGGAAGGGCTTCTCCCCGGTGTGGGTCCTCATGTGCTCGTCCAGGCCTCGCTTCTGACTGAAAGCCTTGTTACACTCCGAGCACTGGTACGGCTTTTCCTGCGCGCAATGACAACAGCGAGTGAAAGTGAGTCAACACAGAGCCCAGGTCATTAAAGGAGTGGAATTCCATGCTGGATGGTGCAAGTTTTATTTTCTCTCCAAGGTATTACAGTCAGTGAAAACAACAGAAAACGACTTTCAAATGATTAAGTGAAAGCTGGGAAAGCTGTGGCCTGACAGTTTCCACTTCAGCACCCACTTATGAATTAATTATCCGTTCCAGTCTTTCAGACTCAGCCATTTGGGGAGCCTGCTTTTTGTCACGTGAAAGGTACAGAAACATACAATTCCAGTGTTCTTTCCTTTATCCCCCAAAAATGCTTAAAGCACACAGACAAGTAAGATTATCTACAGAAACTTTGAGTTTGTCTGGAGGTTTCCAAGCAGGGGAAGAGGATGTACAAGGAAAGCTTGTGGTAGCAGAAAAACTTACTATGAAAAGTGGTGACAGAAGGTTAATCACATACTCATTGCAGAATCTCAAAAGAAGTGCAGATGGCAACCAAACCATCTGTATTTTTATTAGAACTATTGGTTAGCAGCTACTGTAAAACATGATGTTAGAACAGTTGCAATCTCACTGACCTGCAACAAATAATTAGAGATAAATAAGGAAACCCACTTATGTCAAGATTTTTTCTTTGCTGTTCTTCCTTCATATAGAAATTTTTAGAAGTGTAATTCCTCCTTGATTCCACTAAAGTTACAGAAAAACTGTATAGAAACCAACAATAAATCAAGTAAATGCAAGAATTAACATGATGGCAGTGCACATGGCCTCATGAAAATTTCCATGTTCTAGAGGCACCCTTATTTTTGCACCAACTAGACTTCCTTCACTCTTGTCCTACCTCTTTCTGTGGTCTCTAATTCAGTGCTGCTTAAGTTCTGAAGAAAGCTATTTTAAGAAAAGTAAATGCTTTTTACTAAATTAAATTGAAAGCAATGACTATAAATCAATAGGCCAAAAAAAGCAGCTACATCTATGAATTAACAAATAATAGGCAGTAATCAAGTTCTTTGGGGAGATGATGTGGGATCCAAGGATGAATAAGATGGAACAACTCAGGCATTAAAGCAACCAAGAGAATAAGCTGTCTGGTTATTGAATTCCTACTCTCAGTCCCTGGGAACCATCAGGTCCCCATTTGCCATACACCTAACACAGTGCACAATCAATTACTGTTGGCCACGTCCCAGTCTCTCTCTTTAGGGCGGGTCCAGAGACCTCAGTGGGACAAACATGGGGTTCTTTCATTTCGCAGTCTCCTCCCACCAAGTTTCCTAGAAAAGGCAGCATTATTGCCATGATTCTTCAGTAGACAGCAAAACATAACATATTACCTAAAAAAGATCTGAATTGATCTGTGAAAAGAAAAAAAAAATACCATCTAGACCAAAAAGTTCATGTCACTGGGAGCTTTGCTGACTTGACTAAAGACTTCATAGAGCAGGGTCTGGGTTTTAAGGGAAATGTACGAATAAGCCATGTGAAAAGCAGGTTTCTGCAACAACCCCTTAATTGGTTTTGCATTGTGGTTAACACAAACCACATTTCTCTGAGTTCTCCAAACGCAGCCTTTCTGTGTGGAGGCTGTTCCCCAGAAAGTGCAAAGTGAAGTATACGATGTGCACATCTTAAACACCTACAAAAGCATTCACTACTGCAAGCTGCCCCAGGTGGACTGGCTCCCTTTTTATTATCTTGGTCTTCAGCTATCTGAAGAATTGACTTGATAATGACCAGGTCAGTCATTCCAGTGCTAAATGCATTTCAGGATTCCAATTTGGACAAAGAGCCATTTTCAACTCTGGGAAGCTGGAGTCACAAACCTGGGCTGTATTAGCTTCCCCCAGGTTATGTTTGGCTATTCTATATTTTATATTTGTATTATTCTCTGTGGCTAAAATGGTGTACCTAACACCCCCTTGACATTTGTATTGAAATTCACATCTATAGTGCATGAAATATATCCAAAGCTGTCTTTGATCTAATTTTAGATCCATTCCATCTGTATATTCCAGTGACTTCAGCAGACATGACTGATTCACACCAGCCTCCTCTCTCCTGAGTGAAGCTGCCCTCCATTCACATCTGTGTCTGTTTCAGGAAAACCAGTAGTGCTGTCCAGAGTCAAACTTGGCCCTCAGTTTATCTCCAGAGAAAAAGACTTTTTTTTGTTCTTGATTTTGAAGAAAACATCATCCTCACAGATCAATTTCTTCAAAACAAAACATTTGGTGCTTTTCCTTTTCTCTCTGCTCCTTCTCTCCCCCTCATGTCAAATTTCCATTGCACAATGGCTGGAGAAAGCAACACTTGTAACATGGAAAAAGTGATATTTGCTTGGCATAATCATCACTGCTTTAAACATGAGCAGACAAAAAAAAATAAAAACCATGGCAACAGGTCTGAAAAAGCTAATGCCACCACCAAAGGACACAAGGGGCCAACAGTGAGATAAGAAAAAAGCTGGACAAATTTAAAACATGAAGAAAAGGGAAAAGCCTGCTAACTATCAACAAAACAGGAGCTCATTGGGAAGATGATCCAAATCTGACTTCAGAAGAGTTAGCAAGTGCTGGTACTATAAATCTGCCCTCTGCTGAAGAAGCATCTGCCAGGCCATGGCTGTGGTGGCAGCCAAGCTGAAGGGTTACATGTGTTTTCTTTTATTGACCACCTAAACGAGGAAGGGAGCAGGGAGAGCGAGAGAGACAGGACATGGCTGATAGTGCAGTGATTTAACAGCTCAGTTTTAAGCATGCCAGGTATGAACAGAAATATGTAGATCAGGATTTACAATCTTCCTGCCTCTGAACAAGGAAAGGCCAAGAAGAGCCCAATGGTCCTCTGGAAGGTGCTTTGCTGGAAGTCTGACACATGCTGACCTAAAAGCTCCCATCTCTGGTGGGTTTCACCATTAAAACAGAGAGAAATTAAACATTTTCAAAACCACATCAAATAAAACAGGGCCTGCAGTACACACTCCACTCCTGTGTCTGTGGATGGCTCAATCACAAATCACATCTTGAATGCTAAGCAAGTTGTGCTTTGCACTAGAAAGACCTCACTCAGAACATGACAAATCTCAAGGACATTTGGTGCACCTTCAACAGCTTGACACAAGGTGTGCACAGAGTGTCTTGCAAGCACAGCAGATGGAATTACTCAAATGCAGAATATCTGAATTGCTAGCTGCTGCTGCAGTTGCCTCTATGTCTCTTAAGAAATCTAAGGACATTATGCACTAAGGTAGCACTCATGCTCTGTAAACCTGGTAATAATGGTTACACAGGTGAAACATGAATGACTTTGGTAGGAGTCTCTCCAACTTGCTTTGTAAATCTGAATTTAGAACTATTTCATCAGCTCAACAGTTACAGCAAGACAAACATAATCTAAATATTATTATTACCAAATAAACATATCTCAAGATTAAACAAAGAGTTAAGAACAGAGCTACCAACTTGATGGGTCTGTATTTTCAACATGCTGAAAACTGAAGCTTGAGAGAAGTTCAGAGAAAAAAGGAAAAGCTTATCAGGTCTTGTATTACATGTAAATATTTACACTTGTGACATGAGTGTGAAAACTGACAGACAGGAAAAATGGTGATGCTACAGGACACACACACACAAAAAATCCTTTTCTTTCCATTATTCTAAAACAAAGTCTTCCTCTGCTCACAGAAAAATCTTAAAATCATGAGGTACTGATACAGTAACAGTATCTGCTTTCAAAAGGCATTTTATGTGAATATTTTGAAAATATCGGTATTACTGTTACTAAATATCATTTATATGCTTGCATTATCGCCTGAACAGAGGATTAATAAAAAAAACTGTTTTGAAAAAATATCAGGCAAATGGAAAAACGTGGCCTAGAGTGAACAAACATGACCAGCCAGATAACATTAAAATACACCAGTCATGTCTGCAGCTACCAGGAGTTCATTACTCTCAAAGAGAAATCTGGAAATCCTTCAGCTTTGCCAACCTGAAAATGCAGGAAATCTGTTTACACTTAAAATCACAGATAGCTCAAGTTAATGGACTCCAGTTTTGTATCTAAGTGTGAAAAAAATTCAAGAACTAATGAGATGCTCTCTTAGAACTAGAAAGTTTCTGCAGGTTACAGCAAGTGGCTGACCCAGAGACAGAGGCCTACCTAAATTACTGACATAACATTGACACTGGAAGACAAAGGGTGATGAGAACTTACAGCTCTACAGAAATAGAGCTTTGAAACTTATAATATTAAGCCTCAAATATAACTTTACAAGAACATGTTGAAAAGCAAAATCCTTTAAAAAAATATTTCCAACAATTAGAGCAGGCCAAAAAATTTTCCTGTTAAAACAACTGTGAAATAATTCTGGCAGATTTAAACATAATGTGACTTTTATTTGAAATTACTAATGTTTTTTTTAGAACAGGTCTCAATTAATTCAGTTTTAGGTGTATTTAAAAAATAATCTTTTTTGCAATAAAATTTATAATTAAAACAAAAGCATGAATCTTCTCTGAAATGCCTGGCAGAAAAAAAACTGCATTTCTTAAAAAGATCCAGTATATGCAATTCATTGTGCTTTACCATATCATTAACTTGCAATTTTCCATGACAGTCCTGCCTATTTGCTGCCCATAAACTGAAAAGTTCTCATTTCTTTGCAGCTTTTTGAATTGCTGAGGTAAGTTCTGACCCTAAAATTTAGTGAAGGAGGGTTCATTTAATCAGCCTTAATGAAAATTCTATAGATGTTCACCTGCACCCAGAAAATAACAATATCAATATAGAAAAGGTACATTTTCACTCTATGAGGAAGGCGTGATCATCAGTCAACATGACATTAAAAAGTGTAAAAATACAGGTGCAGTGGGATTCAAACCTTCCACACTCTATGTGCAAGCACAGATTGCAGAAGCAAGGACACCACAGCCCTGGGCCAAGTCATCATCCTTGGGCAGATGGATGGGAACTCACTCCTATCTCACCAACAGGGAAATATAGATAAAATCCAAGATGGAAAAACCCCTCCAAATTAAGTCAACACATCATATTATTTCATTACTCACTGTCATGTGCCCAAAATTCTGTATTTAGTACACAAAGGAATCTTTTTTTGACAGTAGCATTCTATGGTGCTTCTAAAACACACAACAGTTTCTCAAACTTCAGGTTCAAGTATTACCTGAGAAACACAGGAGAAGTGAAATTATGTCAATATTGCCCTTGCATTATTTCTCATTTACTACTATTTTAATACTCCTTAGGTTAAAAAAGAAGGGGCAGTGTAAAGCCCCAAATGAGTGCCTTGGAAAGGCTGTTTAACTCAGGACCTCTTCTTCTTCAGGGAACAAAACACTGTCTGCAAGAGTCCTCTACAGGAGACTGCCTCACTTCCACAGTCACCATGATTTATCCCTATTCCCATGAAATCCATAAATAAAACTCAAAATTATTTCAAGGCTGGTTAATTCCCACACATACTGTGGTTTAAACCTATTTAAATATTAATGTGTTTTAAAATAGTAGGCACTTATGCATGAAACAAAAATTATACACTGAAATGTCTGTAATTTTTAAATTACCTCAGAAATGTACCTCATTTAAGCACAGGCTGGCAGCTTCCACCCACTGGAACTCAGATTTTTAAAGCAGTTATAAAAATTAAATCTATCTGTTATATGTAAATATGAAATATTCAAATCAAGTCATGAAAAGCCATTTTCAAACAGCTTCAACTCTTTCTGTTTTCCATCACTGAATCCAACTGTAATAAAATCACCATTCACAGAAGTAATGAAAACATCAATTCAATATGACAACAACTCTGGGCACCAATCAATGGCCATATTTCCAAGCATTAGCAATTCTATTGCTACAACATAGAATAATTTTTCCACATGTTTAAACTCAAACATTGCCACGTTAAGTCAGGCCCTGAATAAAGCCTTAGGAAAGAGCTGAAGTTTCCTGCAGTGTGAGGGTTGGAAATGTGCATGTAACTCCCTCAAAGCTGATATGGTCTGTAAACTCATTTCATCAACAACTTCAATAAGTTCCTCATTTATGTTTTCCTAGGCTGTTATATTTCTCCTTAAGGGAAAAAAACCCCAAACCCATCAAACCATAAAGCAAACCCATTTACTTTCATAGAAACAAATCAGCACTCAGGTGACATTTTAATATCAGGTGGGTGGTGTTTTCTCCCCTGCCCTGGCCAGCAGGGGTTTGGCCTTACCTTCTCTGTTTACTCCAGAGCTGGAGCTGACACCTGCGGCCACCCAGGCTGTGCTCACTTTAGCAGCTGCCAGACCTTAATCAACTTTCTTCAATGATTTTTCCAGCAGCCTTCCCTGATCCCCAGCATCAGGTCTGGCATTTAAGCCCACTGGTAAAATGCACTGAGATTTAATCTCTACTGTCTTTGGTGAATGCCACAATATTACTTTTAAGCTACTTTTCACAAACTTTCTGGACAGAAGACCAGATTCTTTTTTTCAAGATATTTATAAACAAAAAAATTATCATTGCAGAAGGGTGCTATGATTGTGTTTATTTCCACATTGCTAGGCTCAGCTGATAGAAAAGTACTTTCAGTATTCATACATCTCGCTATTTACTTTCAACAATGATTTTGCATGCAAGAATGAATTTCAAATAAAATGCATGTGTAGGAAAGGGTAAAAAAAGAAAGAGCAAACAACCTTACACCATTTTTAAAAGTCAAAACATGGGATGATTGAAATGAAAAATTTTAAGGGTGACTTGCTGGTTTTTCTAGTTCTTAGAACTGACAGAAGGACCCAAACCTTTGGCAAACACAGTGCATTTTTTTATTTCCTAATCTTTAGTTCATCTTTGTTTAAACAGCCTAGGACCATAGAACAAGACCTGGTGCATTAGCATTGTGCTCAGGGGTCTCCAAGTCTTTCTGCACAGGCTTCTCTCTTCCCTGGAGAAGTCTTGACACTGTGCAGTTAGAACACATCTCCTTCAGAGACAGGATTCAGATCATGAGCCCTCACGTCAGCAAAGACACACCTGAACAGCTCAGCAGCTCTTTCCTCTGCTCAAGGGGGGTTGGTTAGGTTCTTGCACTCTGAATTCCTGACAAGCACCAATCTACTACTAAGATTAAATAAATCTTCACTTTGTTGCCAAGACACAAATGCTGTCTTTCCCATTTACCTCTCAGTATTGTTGCTCTCACATTTCCTTTCCTTCTCTTTCCAATTCCCTTCACCACTCTGTTCTTCCACATCAGCTGAAATACATATTTATTCCCTTGTGCTTGCACTAATATTAGTACGAGCTATTTACAAATACCTTGTACTAATATTTACTCACAGAACACTAAAACAATAGCTTATTATCCTCCATGGATGATGTTCTGCAGAACAGACTCTGGCATACCTCCTTTTCCTGGCTTAAAAATCCATGGAAGCCAGTAATAAACATTGCTTTTATTAATAATTTCAAACCATTTTTTTCCTCCTCCTTTGATTTTTTAGCTGTCCAGTTCTACTTAAATATTAAATAAGGTGAACTGGGAGAAAGAGGGGAAGTTGGGACATGCAAGATTATAGCAACAGACTTCAATTTAGAAATTACTATTAATGTAAATGTTATCAGTACTGATTGTTGTTACTTCACAGTAAAAAAAAAAAAAAAAAAATATTTCCATGGAGATAAATGAACAGGTAATGGCAATCCAATATGAATGAGCCTCACTGCCAAGTTTTGGGATAGGAGCAGCATCACCACAAAAAGAACCAAAATCTAATCAGGTCTAAAAAACCATGTTTGGCCTGCACATTTTAATCCTATAGCATAGCTGTGGGGATGACCAGCAGTCTTCTTAGCACCTTCACACACAAAAATAAAAAACCTGAAATGTGACCTTTGAGATGTAGATGATCAATACATCTCAAGTATATGGAAACACTTAGATTACATTTGGGGTGCACTGAGTTCTCTGTACCTCTAAGGATGGTGTTTGGCCTCCATGGTACAGTAGAGCATTTCCTGAGACATTTTAAAACACATTTTATTATGTCTAAAGCCTGTTTAATTACAGTGCCTACATATATTAAAAAGAAATATCCACTCCCTAAAATTTATTTTCCTAACTCCTCCCTTTCCTATCAGCTACAAAATGCTTAGAAGAAAACATCACTTGGTGTAAATCACTGTAGACTCTAAAAGCTTAATAATATTATTTTTACTCTATTTTTCTTCTACAGAGGCTGGGGAGTGTTTGTTGTTTTTGCTCAAACTGTATGAAAAATCAGGAAAAAAAGTTGGATTTGGCACCGTTTCAGAGCTTGTTTAGCCCTCAGTCATGCAGAACTTAGATGGGTCATGAAATTTCTCCTGGTGCAAACACAGTTAAGAGGGGACAGTAACAACAGAAAAGAATTTATAGCACTTCTTAAAGTGATTTAACAGCTGGAAAAAAAGGAGAAACAACTAACAACATGAAACTAGCCTGTTCCAAAGAAACTACCAAGAGTATTGCACAAACTACTCATTACTTGTATAGTTTGGGGTACAAAAGCAACAACTTGATCAGGAGCTCAGAGTTAATATGCTCAAGACCCACATATAACAGTAGAAATTTAAACAGTTTTTAATTTTACTTATTTAGAAAGCAATTCTGTGTGCCCACTTGCATATGGAGACTACTAAGTTAAATGTCACCCTTCCTATTTCCCAGTAGATGCAGAATTTTCTTGGTCTGGACTCAAGGCTTCACTGATGTCTATGAGCTCCAACAGCTCCCAGTTAAATAAAGCTATATAAAAATTGTCATCAGTTAATAAAGTACAGCCTCTAGAAAAGCTCACAATGACTGGAATGGATATTGAAATTCCAGTCACAGTGAAGCCTTTACAGAGCTGTTTACTCAATAAACAACATTAATTTATATCTATAAATAACCATGGGTTAAAGGAAGAGGTTAGTACAGCTATTATTTCAACGTAAAAGAAATTAAACACAGAAAAAAGAGAAGGTAATGGAGTTCTAATTAGAATTAGCAAGTTAATGACTTGAATCTTTGCCTCTTATTTTGATAGGCACAAAACACCTTGGTTGGCAGAGCCTAATCTCTACACAAACAGCAATTAATGACTTTTCAGCACAGGAGTCCCAGACAATCCTCAAGCAAGCATAAAACCTCCCCCTTGCGTGGGACTTACCCTGGTGTGGGTGCGAATGTGCATCTTCAAGCCATCGTTCTTGCTGAAAGCTTTGTCACAGTAGGGACACTGGTAAGGACGCTCACCTGAGGGCAAGAGAAGCATCAGGACCCAGAAATGTGCCCTCAGAGGATGAAGGCCTTGCAGCATAGCTCTTTGTCAAACTGAACTGCTTTTCTCTTCAAAGAGCAGATTTAAACTTTAGAAAAATTAAAAATAATCCTGCCTGAGTGGGATGGAGCGCTGGATCAAAATATTCCTCTTGGCTGACTGATTTTGCACTACAATATATGAATACACACAGACAGCCTTGGGGGAAGTAAAACCAAAAAGAAAACACCTAATGCCCTTGCTCAAACCACATTCTACAGTGATTTACACATGGTCACTTTTATGGTTAGGCATTAACTGCTCCCAAATATTTTTTCTATTTCACATCTGGTCGTCATTAGAGGCCTCTGGGTGTCAGAATCCCAATGGAATATAAAATCCACTCTTTTATAACGCTGGATCTGTGTTAGAAGCTGGTTAATCAAAAGTTTCTGCAATATCTGTGTCCCAATTTATGACTGAAGTAGAAGCAGAACAATGTTGGCATCTCCCTTGCAGCATCCCATATCTGAAAGGTATTTGTTTAATGCTCCATTACACCGGTGTCATTTGGCATTCATTTTCCCAAACTCACACTAGTGTAATGTGGATACTGAGCTGTTCAGAGACAAACAGCAAAGAGTTTCTGAGCACCATCATTTGGAAGAAATGTATTTCAATTTTTAACTCTTCAGGCAATGCTCCAGTATCTGAGTGTACTGCCTCCTGTTCCTGTGTACAACACTTTAAAAGCAAAGATCAGGCTGTTTCCATTACAAAACACAGTACAAAAAATGATAGAAAATTTTCTGTTAACAAAATGGATTTTGTTCTACACAACCATAATGCTGAAGGTGTCTTTTCAAATAAAGGTTTGTCACAAGTTAAGCAAAGCCTGCTTTATAGAAGTCAATGCACAGCTTTCTGCTCACAAAGATATTTCTGCATGCATAGATTTAACACAGACCAAATATCAAGCACTTATTAACACTCACACTCAATCTTCTAAAATAGGCAAGCAAGATTAACTCCATTTCACAGTTTAAAAAAACCCAAACCAGACTATTTCTCTGATAGACCAAAAATATTGACAAAGAGGCACTGCTGGACATGAAACCTCCATTTTCACACACTGTGTGGAGATCCAAGGGCACCTGAGGTGAGATGATTATTTAGAGAAGAGGATGGCCACCCTCCCCTTAGTTTGTAGAAAACTTATTTTGTTCTTTTGTCTTTTTCTTCTGTATAGGGAACTGTGAATGTCAGAAGCACAAGACTGGCCAGTGAGGCACTTGTAAACACAAATATTCTTCTCTCTTGAGTTCTGTTATCTCTCAGAAAGCTCAACTGTGTGAATTGGGGTTTTGGGGTTCTTTTTAGGACGATGACAACCTCTGTGTTAGAGCTGTATTTTCACTGAGCAGTTTGATATATGATCCTCTCTCTCCTGACCCTCGATGCCTTTAATTCATGCCCCCGAAATTCAAATACTCCAACAGTTGTCAGTACTCAAATGTTGAATTAATTCAGCTGACATTTTTATGTCTGGGGGCTTTTGAATGGAGAATTTAAAGCTTTCAGCAGTTTGTAAGCAGATGAGCGATGACAGGTAGGAGTTGTACCCTCCTCCCCCACCCTCATGTCTCTTTAAAGAGAAAGTCTTTTCCCTTCAAAGGATGGGCTTGAGTTTGTCTGAAACAGATGAACAGCGTCCCTCTGAAATCAACCACGGGCACCATGGTGCTTGATGAGCAAAGTCTCAGGAGCTTTCAGCAGATGCCAGCAGAGGGCAACAATGACTCCACATCACCTGACAAAGTCACAACTGAACAAGTCGGGTTTGGAGCTGCTGTTAAAAACTGTCCACTGTCAAAAATCTCCACTGCTCCAAAAATCGAGTTTTACTGCCTAACACAGACTGCCAGCTCTGACTTGACATTCCAACTAGGAACCGTCTTGTTTTTCTAAATTATGCACTTGTGTCAAAAATTTCCAGTAAAACTACTTAAAAAATGTTCCTAAGTAATTTTACTGTTGCTCTTACTTTTTGTTATTTTCTTTCACCTTTGGAGCTTGCATGCTTAGAATTTATTCAAGTTCCCTGGTGCTGACACAAGCATCTACCCTGAGCATAAACATCTTTTAAACTTGTAACTTATCTGCTACCTCAATTTTGTAGGATTTTACAAAATTAACAATGGACCATTAAAATACATCTGTGCTAGCAACAACCAAGTTTCTTAGTATAAATTTCTTACTAACTGCTCTCTGCAAAGGGCCTCTGTTGTCTGTCTCAGAAGTGAATAAACTGCCCTCTGAAAAACAATCTTTTTTGCTATTTACTGTCTCAGGAGCCCAGGTAACTAACTTACATTAAATATCTGATCTTGTGAACAGCAGATCTGGCAAGATTATTGCAACACTACATATTACCTTCTCTATCTCTGGTAAAAAATAACTTCCTTGTTTCTGAGCCAGCCTAGGCAAACTTATTCATGCTACCAGTCAGTTTCTCATCAGAATGATTCCACATTCAAGGAGATTACTGGGATGCAGGCGTTCCCCAAGAGAAATCTTACACACACTGTCCCACTCTAAGTCCTGTAAGATCAACAGGAACAGTTTAACTTCCTCTTATCCTGTTTAAGCAGATGGAATAAGATGGCAACAAAAGAAAAGACAGATTTGAGAAAATGAATGCTAGAAATATTCCTCCCACATGTGAAGGCTTGCTCAAGTGCAGCATTTCACAGGAAACTACTGCCAGTGTCCACAAAGGAGAGGGGTTTGTGCTTGCACAAAGTTTAGAATTGTCACTGAGACAAACTGGAGAGCAAGGGCCATGTGATACAAGCTGCTGGGAAAATGACATTGTCCATCAGGGTTCTCACATCCATCTACAGCCAGACAAGGACTACCAAAACCCCATTATAAACATTGCAGTTTTAAACTTCAGGATGTGCACTAAAATTGTGGAGATTTCCAGATGCAAAACTCCTCTGATCAGAAAATGAATGGATCTCTACCAAAGAGTTACTAAGAACAGCAAATGAAATACCTGGCAAGCCGTGAACCTCTATTTCTCTTGTTAACAAGGAGTTACTAAGAATTGAAGTGAAAGAAAGATCTCCCCTAGATAAACTACAATTTCTTCTTGGATTTGCTGCTAGAAGAACATTTATGAGATTTGTGGTAACACCAGATTAAGAGGGGGTGCACTTTAGGTGAAGTCAATGCCAATTAACAACTATGCCATTTGCACTCTGCATTTTTCTATAAACACATTTTTATATATAGTTATATGCATAAAACACAGAAGTATTTTTATGTTTGGGTGTTTTTAAAATCTGTTTCCTAAACAAAGCTATTGCTTTTATTAAAATAACAGAACAGTGAAGCAAGTCAAATGTAACAAATGTTAAGTCCACCCCTGAGTTACAGCTGACTGTCATGTCCCTGTTGTTCCAGAACAAACTGCGCAACACATTAATGGCACTTCTGTACAAATAACCCCAAATAAATAATCCTGGGATAAATTGCAGTGGATTTAGCATAATTCAAAGTCTAGACATTCTACTTCCAGATTTTGTATGAACAAAAAAATCAGAGCTTTTAACATAATAAAAATAAATTTAACCTTAATACAAGGATTATGAAAAACAATTCCATGATTGAAAAACATATGGGATTTTGATCTGAAACCACGTCATGACAGAATGGACATATTTTTTTCTCCTCTCCATCTCTAGCTTGAGATCACAATACCTAGTGGACCTTAATGTAGCTTAAGAAGTTAAATACCAGATTCTGCCATTCTGGTTGGACTCAGGACAGCTTCCCATGAGACATCTGCAATCAGAGCTGCTCTAAGGCAGCATTTACACTGAGTTTAGCACACAGATCTCCCAAACTCAGACACAAAACAATTAAGAAGCAAATCTATGTACACATTAGTTTTTGAAGATTTCTAGATTTCAGTGGCTAGAACTAGACATTTAATAAGGACTTTGAGACAGTTAATCAAACTGGTCATATGCACTGCTATCTTCATACTGTGTTTTGCATTCCCTGGAGTCAGCTGAGCCACAAAAATAAAGCTGGTTCTCAACTTAGGTGGAAACCTGATAAGAACTACCAATGTTACTGATTACTTCAGAACAATGACCTCAAATAAGATTAAGCAAATATGCACTTGACAAGTGAGAAATGCATTCCCATCCAATGAAAAAAATGAAAAAGGAAACATCCAACTGAGAAATAGCCCTAATCTGAAGAGCCCAGCAAACCAAAGAAACAGTCTCACTGCTCTTTCAAACCATACCCAGGCATTGATTTTATTTCATCTGTGAAATTTGCAATCCTGTTTACTGTCCCTGTTCCCCTGCAGCTTGCTTAGACACCCAAATATACACAAATACAATTCTCAGGTATTCATGTTAGCCTTCAAGCAGGATTCCCTGGCTTGCTGTCTTTACTGGAACTCCATTGCTCAGTTAAAGAATGAAGAATTTGAATTACGCAGTGAAATTATCAAGGTGGGGTTTTTTATACACTTTTTAATACATCTCTGCTCAGTTGGGGTACTCAGCATCAATGATTTTGGTCAGCACTCAAGAACATCAGAAGAGCTACAAAAAACTGCACTGAACATCAGATCATGTGCAGCATATGCAGCCTCAAGGAACTCCTCTGTTCAGTTTTCTTTATAAAAATGAATAAATATAATTACAGCAATGTGGTCCCTCAGACTGTTCCACAGACCATTTCCTATATTCTAGATATAGATGGTGAACTACTAATTTTTTGGGACTAGAAGATTGTTTCTTAAATAAAAATTGTTTTGTTTTTCTGTATAAATATATATATGTGTGCATTATTTCAAAATATCAGCTTTCAGAACAGTTATAGCAAATTATAATCCTCTTTAAAGTCCTAACTCAAGCCTGGGGTAGGGGAGTGGGTTAGAAGGGAGCTTCTGCCATTGCCCAACTGCAGT